TTTTTCCAGTGGAAAAAACTTTTCACAATTGAGAACCCAAAAACAAATCCATTATTGAGGATCATTGCCCACATGCAGGTGCCTAGAGTGAGGCAGCTGCGTGTTCAAGGAGGTGGTGCTGAGGAGAGTCCTGCTCCACAGGGAAGCCCTGAGCCCAGCACCCAAAGGTCACCAGCAAGCTCAGAAAAGGTGCAGTCCAGTTTGTCTAAGTTTTTTGGCAGCACACCTGAACAGCAGCTATCTCAGCCAACACCACCCAGCTTCACCAAAAACATCACCAAGAGGCAAAGGCTCAGCAGATTTGCACAAGATGCTCTGAGAGAGAGAGAAGAACATCTTAGAAGAATTGCTGAGCTGGAAGCTGAGAAGGCTGAGACCAATGAGGAATTGGAAGAAGTTGCTAGGCTTGCCAAAAGACAGCCTGGGAGGCCTAGAAAATCTGAGGAAGATGTGGCAAAAGGAAGGAAGATGCCAGGCACCCAAGCTGAGCGTCTTGAGATCACAGCAACAACAAAGTACAAGTACTGCTGTGAGATGGAATTAGCTCAGAAAGAGTTTGTTGATAAGAAAGACTTCTGGAAAGCAATGGTGAGAAGGTATGGGCTGACTAAGCAGCAGCTCATGAGCATGCTCAGCAAGAAAGAGCATTGGCATCAGCTCAGCAAGCAGCAACCAAAGCTGAAAGGACTCAGAAAGCGCGAGAAGACTGGAAGAAAGAGGTCCTTAGGAGCAGGGAGGAAGGTTCCCTTCCCTGACATCGTTGCTGGGATGAAGCAATGGCTCTCAATTGAAAGAGCTTGTGGGCACAGCATCTCTAAGGCTGATCTGGCAGCTGAGTATCTGGCTAGGCTCCAGCTGTCAGCTGAGAAGCTCAAAGAACAGGCTGAGCATAGCAAGGCTCTCACTCCCTTGCAAAAGGGCGAGCTGATTCATGAGGCCTCAGAAAGGTTGCAGAGGAAGAGCAAGCTTCTGGGGAAGCTCAACTACAAGAAGTCTCAGGTCAGAAGGCTCATTGACTGGCTGGGTGCCAAATATGTCTCAGCTGACTTAGTGACCAACATTTCTGAGACTGAGAGCAAGACCAGGTGCCTCCTGACTTGGCAGGAGTTTGACAAGACCTTGTGGTTGGCCACCTGTGCCTCAGCTGAGACCTTGAAGGCCTCAGACAGAGTGGCATCTCCTGAGGACTTTGTCTCAGCGCGTCCTCACCTTGTCATAGGCTTCTCAGATCAGATTCCCCTGTGGGCCAAGGCCACTGGCAGGAAAGCTATCTTTGCTGAGGAAGAGCTCCAGAAGCCTGAGCACATCAAAGACTTCTCAGAAGTGAGGCAAGCCATTTTGGAGGTTATGCACTCAGGTGACCCTGCTGAGATGGTGGTGCAGCCACTGCAAAAGAAGCAGAGCTTTGAGTCAGCCACACCACCAACAAAAAGGCAGCTCAGCTTTCCTTCCTCAAGCCCAAGTCCACCCAGCAGTGTTGTGAGGAAGCTCAGCTTTGGGGAATCTGCAGGGTCTTCTGAGCAAGTGGTGCCTGCCACACCTGAGGAGCAGCCAGAACCTGAGGAAAGCAGTCAGCATGCAGTGGCACCTGCAATCCCTGACAAGGAGGTGAGCTCAGCCCAGCAAGGAGCCCAGAAACCAAAACCTCTCCCTCAGGCCTCAGCCACTACCCTAATTGGGGTGTCAGGTGATGAGCGCTTTCGCATCACCTATGAAGCAAGGCAATTGCTTCATTCAGTGCATTCTCAGGATGAGATTGTTGGATCAGTGGGCAAGGGCCTGCTGGTTGTGCCTGGCCAGTGGGCCAGGCTCAGCAACATCTCAGAGAATGGCACTTGGCTGAAGACTGAGAGCTTCCAGGTTGGAGACAAGACTGTTGTCAGGAAGCAAGAAACCTCAGTTGGAAGGATCCTGGAGCCCTACAGGAAACTGAGGAAGAGCCACCCTGAGTTGATGTCCAAGCTTGAGGTGATGTCTCAGCCTGCCAGCAATGTGGACTCAGTGATCCTCACTTGGGCTCAGGCTGAGCAGTACCCATGCTCAATGTGGATGAGAGACTGCTTCAGCTCAGTGTTCACTGACTCAGCTGCTGAAGCCATGGCTTTGGCCAACCAGCTAAGCTGCCTTGTGGCTGAGAAATGCACTTCCAAGCTCCAGATCACTGACACAGACTTTGCCAAGCAGTTCAAGGCCCTGGTCAGGAGCAAGCTGACTGAGATGAGATCTGAGTGGCAGACTCAGATCAGAGATTCCCACTCAGTTTGGAAGGTTGGCCCAAAGGAGATTGTCACAGCAGCGGTTCATGCCCAGGAATTCCTCAGTGACAAGAATCTCAGAGACCAGTGGGTCCTAAGGGCTGCTGTCAGGAATGGGTTGTTGGTTTACAGGCCAAACCCTCAGACAGGGAAGCTGGAGGAGCTGCTGTCTCAGAAATGGGTCTAGGAGTTGGAGCTTGAGATGGGCACTAAGAGGTACAAGCCTGAGTACCTCAGTGACAGACTCAAATGGCTCAACAGTGAAGGTGTGCCCGTAGATGCTGACTGGAATTTGAGCGAGGTGGCTAAGAGCATCACAGACCTTCAGGTATGGGACTATTTTCACCCTGAAGATGAAGATGAGACAGGAGAGCTTGAGATCACAGATGCCCTCAATGAGGATTTGGAGCTGGAGCTCCAAAACTCCTTGTCATTGAGGCTGAGTCCTGCATTGAGGCGAGCTGGCCTCAGGAGATTGGGCACCAAGCAGTACAAAGAAGCAAAGCTCTCAGAAAAGAAGAACCCCAAGCACAGGGCAGGTAGGGCTAAGCTGAGGAAAGCTCACAGGAGCAAGTTGGTAAAGGCTTTGGCTCTGAAGGTTCAGTCCCAGTCCAGAAGAGAAGCCTTAGCAGAGATCAAGCCTGAAGCTCAGCAGAAGAAGAAGAAGGCTCAGAAACCTTCCCTGGTCTTGAAGGCAGCACTGAAGATGAAAGCAAGTGCCAAGACTAAGGCAAGCCTGCACTCCAAGCCCTCAGCTGTTGCAAAGGCAGAGAAGAAGATGGCTCTCAAGGCCAAAGCTGACAAGGAGCTGCGTGCAGCTGAGAAGATTGCTGCTGAGGAGGCACCACCCCTGCCACCCCCAGCAGAAGGCCCTCCAGCCAGTGAGGAAGATAGCCTTCTTCACACTGATGTTGTGGTGATCTCAGAGGCAGCTGGCAAGATCAGTTTTGGCAAGGTTGGCAACCTCATGTCCTTCTCTTCTTCCTCAGGAGCCTACACCTTGATGAGTGACACTGGTGCATACCAGGTGATGCCTGAGTGGCTGGAACCCAAGGACAGCAAGCCTGCTGTCAAGCCAGTCCAGTGGCCCAAGTGGAGCCAGCTCAGCAAAAAGGACACCAAGCTCATCTTGACTCAGCTCAGCAGCAACCCTGAGGATCAGAGTTCCCTGCAGTTTGATGAATGGTCCTACCACACAGTCCTCCCATGCCCTCAGGATGTTGCTGAGGTTGAAGACCAGCACCTGTGGTTGGGCTGGGTTCTGCTGAGGTGGATGCTGAGCAAGAGCAACTTGCCAAGCTGTGAGGAGTTGGGGATCAACTGTGTTGATCCCATCCTCAGCAAGCTGTTGAATGATCAGGATGACCCCTATCAGCCAGCAGCCTTAGAGGCTGGTGTTCAGAGCTGCTGGCTTGAGTCCACCAAGGTTCTCTTAGTCCCCATCTATGCATCCTTCCACTGGACCCTGCTGGTGGCTAAGCGCGAAGGCCCTCAGCACCCCATAGCATGGACAAGGTATGACAGCCTCAGCCAAGAACATGCTGAGTCCCACCCTGTCCAGCTGAGAATGGGGAAGCTGCTGGATCCTCAGTTTGAGCTGCCACCTCTCAAGAATGTGGCCAAGCAGCCCATTGGCTCCAATGCCTGTGGCTGCTATGTGCTCCACTACATGGAGAGTGAGCTCAGAACCTTGAGGGGTGAATGGCTGTCAGTTTGGCCTGAGGCAGGTTGGAAAGCATGGAAGGAAAGGCTCAACAAAGCTTGTGGCAAGCTAGCCTCAGAGGCTGAGGCTTTGACTGAGGCAGTAAAGCAAGAGCAAAACAAGCTCTCCAAGCAGCAAGCTCAGGTGAAAGAGACCCTGGACAAGGCTCAGAGCAAGCTCAAGACACTCAAGAATGTCACCTCTGCAGCCTACTTGGCTGCTCAGGAGCTGGTGGATAAGAACTCAGTCACCTTCACATGGAAGAATTTGTCTGAGTCTGCTACTAAGTCTGTCTTAGCCTTAGAAGCTGCACTGGGCAGGTGTGCTAAGTGCAGGTGGCAGTCTGGTTGCTTGGCCTGTGACCCCTACAAGTGCCTCAGACACCACCTGCACAAGGAAGCAGCTCAGGCCAAGAAGCAGGCCTTCCTCAGCCAAGGACTAGGGTTGTAATTAGTTAGTTAACATCTTGTTTGTGGTCTGTTGGTTTGTGTTTTGCTTTGCTGCTGGCTGCTTGCCTGGGAAGGGAGGGGGGAGTGCAGGTGGACAGGATTCAATAAATAGGTTTCCAATATAAAAAATTTAGGGCCCCCAAAAAAGTTAGCATTATTCAGGAACCATTTTTCAAACAGGGGGGTCTGAATAATTTTGGAAAAATTTAGCATTATAGCGGGCCCATTTACTAATCAGCATCCAACATTAATACCGGTCGCGCAGTGGAGGGCTGGCTCGGTGACCGAGGCCTGGACTTTGCTGCTGGTGCCTGAGAAGGCGCCACTGGAGTCTCGGAAGCAGCTGCAGGAATCTTGCGGCCCATGATGATCACAGAGACTAAATATGCTCAAGCTTGTCTTCGTCCGTAGTAGTGCGCTTGAACCAGAAAATGCAGTCGCAGACACAAATTTTCTTGAGACAAAAATTCACAAGAAAAATGTCATGAAGCATACATAAGTGAATATACACAGTCTGATATATCTTCAGCGAAGAATGTGAGAACCGGCAGGTTATTAATGACCCACTCAGTTATAAAGGCCTTGTGTTTCACAAGTGTGCGGAAAGGTGGGTGTACATCAACCTGTCGGAGTGTTCCTGTCTCTACGCTTCTTACAAGTTCATCCGGTTTAGCGGTGTGTTTTGTTAAAGGATCGGCGAGACAGAATTCGCTTGCGACGTGACTTAGGTCATCGATGTTGCCAGTGTTGCTCTCGTGTCTGAGCATCTGTATGAGGTGGTGTGTTTCCTTTTGCTCCGGGAGATGTGTGGTTTGTGCAGTGGTGACCAGGTTGTTTGCGTCTGTTCTCAAGTGGATAGGAAGAATCTGGCCACTGACATCAGCCCACAGAGCACGAAGGAAAAGACATGTGCCAAAACACCTCATCAGAGCTTGTAGCTCAGCAACAGTGGTAGACTGAGTAGTAGTAGTGATCTTATGACCCTCGTAGTCTATAATAGATCCACGTGTAGCTGAACTGTCTTTCTTCTCGGAATATCGAGAGTTATATGGCTGTCTTTCTTCAGCCAGATAGATGACGTGTGCACGTTGACTGGACTTGTCACCGTTGTTTCGGTACGATGCATCAGGAAAGCCAAGGATGCGTTGATTGCCCTTGAGAGGCCAGAATCGAGCATCCACATATTGGCTCTTCATTGTACGAACAACCTTGTTGATCTCGCGCACGTCACCAATGGTCGGACTTGAAGCTGCGGATGCACATCTAGAGAACTTGTAACACAAGTGAACCTGCGTTCAACTCTGCAACCAATTGAGCTGGCCTAAAACAGAGCGATATGCTGTATGCATCTGAGGATTACAAGCAACGTTGTCCTTTATATGCTTATCAAACTTGATTTCCTCTACAGCATCTACTGCAAGCTTTTGGTCACAAGAGATGTATGGCCCTTGCTTGTCATGAGTCTTCCACACTTGATACGTTGACCAACAAACATGATGTCATTTTTGTCTTCCGAGCCTACGTTAAAGTCCTTACGAATGCTGGCAAGCACTTTGTCTGCAAAGACCTTGTCTCCAGCCATGAACAAGTCATCGACATGAAGACAAATGAAACCATGTGGTCTTCGGCCTTGTGCATTATTCTGTGCTACGGGATCCAGCAACATGTCAATTGCATCTTGGACAGGATCATTGGACGTAGACGTCTTCCGGAATGACCTTGACAACGAAGCGTCCTTGGATGACATCTTATCGCCGTACAAAATATAGGTGCATCGATCAGCTCGAGTTGGCACAAGTCCATAACTAAGAAGTGCTTTATCGACCGCCTGCCACCATCTGCGTGGTGCGTCGTTCAGACCGTACGCGGACTTCTTCATCTTCGCTCCTATGTGTGGTGGATATCCGCATTCGGACGGGATCTGGCAGATGCTGTCTCTAGTTTCATCATATGCTTCACCTTGCAGGAAGGCGGTCTTCAGGTCCATATGATACAGATCCCATTGACAGTTAGCTGCAAACTGTGTTGCGCATCGAAAACCTGAACGACTGGCAGCAGGACTGTCGGTTTGTTGGGTGTCCTTCTGTCTGTCTTGGAAACCCTTTAGCACCCAACGCGCCTTACACTTGAGGAAGTTACCGTCCTTGTCCTTCTTGATGGTAAGGACCCAGCGACCAGCAACATAATTCCTGATCTTTAGCTTACGCATGTCAACAAGCTCGAAAACGTCATTGTCAAACCATGATTTACATTCGGCCTGTTTGGCTTCCAGGAATTGTTTGGCAAACTGTCGTTTTTCTTGCTGGGTTGCTTCCTTACGTTTCTTGCCGACAAGATAGGAAAACTTGTCTTCCTGTGACTGATACAAGGTCAGGAAGGCCTTGTCTTCCTCCGTAATACCAGAGTAGACTTCTCTGATGTCGGCATAGTTCTTACGAAGTAGCTGACGCTTCTTCTGTGCCATATACGAAGACGGCGTTACAAAGTCAGCATAAGACGGAACTGTCTTGAGATCTACAGGTGAACCATCAATGTACCGAGGTACTGTGAACGAACCAGTATTGCTACAGAGCTTCTGTTCGGCTGACAGCCAGCTCCAGCTGTTTTCGTCCACGTACAGGTCATTATAGTCAATGGTTTCATCTGAGTCAACGTCATCTTCTTCTTCTTCCTCTTCTTCAACGTCAACTGCTACGTCGTCCGGAATATCGGAATCGACGATTACAGCTTCCGGAGATTCTGGTGACACTGGCTGTCCATCATCATCGTCTGCGATCGGCAAATTAGGTCCGGATGGCTGAGCATCTGGATCACCGGCGTCCTCTTCTTCCGGAAATTCAGGTATATCATCTATGTCATCTTCCGGTTTGCGTTTCTTTGCTGGTGTTCGGACGACCGGCGGCGAAAAGACGAGTTGATCATCACCCCCCAGATGGTTGCTCGGTGGAACCGAAGGAGGTGAAGGCGAGGCAGGCATCTGTACAGGTCTGGTAGGACGAGCTTTCGTCGAAGGACGGTCAGACACAGGAGAAGGCGTAGGGCGCTTCTCGCCAAAAATCATCGGTTCATCTGGAATAGACGGTGGAACGACAAGTGTAGGAACCACAGGAGTGTCTGGCTGAACAGGAGTCAAGGGCAAAAAGGAAGGAGGTATAGGTGGAACTGTGGCTGCAGGAGTAGAAGGTGGAAACTGTGATGGCGGTTGTGGTCCTGAAGGTGGGGTGTCCGGAAGTTCTCCAGGCAGGTGTGTGTCAGGTTGTGACGGTGGTGAGTGGCCTGGAAACGGTGGAAACGGATGTTCTGGCGGTGGTTGTCCTGGAGAAGGTGTAAATGATGGATCTGGACTGTCTCCAGGTGTAAAGAAATCACCTGGTGTGAATGGATCACCAGGGATGTCGCCAGGCATGTCAGGACCAGTGGGTGTCATGTATTCGTCCGGATCCAAACCAGGAGGTGGTGCAGGTGGTGCACCAACAGTGTCAGGTGTGACAGGTGTGCGTGCAGGTTTGGACGGAACACGACCATCAGAGTTCCAGAAAAAGACACAGCTCCAGTTTGACTCCACCAACTTCGACAGGTCGTCAAAAGGATGTGACTGGATGTACACCTTAGTTGTATCCTTCTTACGCCATAAAAACAGTACACCTGCGGTGTGACGGTACCTGATTTTCAATTGTTCAAAAGTACCTCGCAAAATTGTGGCGTTCTCAAGTGCCATGGTAGGTGCAAAAATCTGGCGCATATGTGAAACATCATGTGCGATATGCAATGACTCAGACCAAGGATTATACTCATGTCCCTTAGGGAGTGAGTTAACTCTGTTCATAAGGCGTCGAACATAAAAATCCTTCACAGTTACACTGTCAGATTCACTGAAGTGAACATATCCTCGATCCGTATTTTCCGTCAGGAGTGATTCGAGACCCGGAATATCGAGTTCTCCAAGCAGATCTACAACTACAGTAGTCTGTGCGTGAAACAACCCATGATGGCTTCCCAGCGGCAGAAGACAGCGAATAAGCTTGGAACAGAAACGATAGGGATATACCTGAGCTAACTTGGTTCTGCTTCCAAAGCCAGGCGCTGAACCTTCCAGTGGTTGATGTTGGTGTTGTTCACCCCCGAGCTTATTACTACATCTCTTGAACACAGGCGCTAAAACTCCTTCATCAAAATTGTGTAACAGAGAAGTTGGTTTGTTGTAGTAATAGCCGTTAGGGTCTTTCATTCCAAACGAACACATGTCAAGAGTGCCATAGGTAACACCACGTTGTGACAAAAGACGGTGGGAACATCTGGTGTACCAAAGAGCGGATGAGGCTGGATTCTCAATGATGAAATGGCCTTCATGTTCAATCTGGAATATGGCAACGCGACAACAAAACTCCAACAATGGAAGAAACTTCTGTCTGCGCTGATCTCGTGCTGCGCGATCATGGATATTGGTCATCTGACTCCAAGGAGCACAGTGCGGCGCCATAAAGATGACTTTAGGCTTCTGTTTCTCGATGATGTCCATCGTCCTCTTACGACCGTCACTGGTCAAGATGTCAAATCCTGTTCTTAGGTCAATAGGTTGTCCAACCCGCAAACCATTCATGGCAGCAACTTGACTCAACCGTGCTGAACCTGCGAAT